AAAAAAACAGTTTTTAAAATTAAAATGAAATAAAATAAATCTAATAATAATAAAAAAAATTTTTTAAAAGTACCCCGCCCCCGCGAGCACGCGCGTCGCCACGTAAACACGCGTCGGGTGCGCCTACGCATGAAAACGACGAACGCGCTACACATGTTGGGTATCGCCGCGCACGCCGGAGTGAGAGCAATAATTCTAGGGCCAGTATTTTGGGGTATCTCTAAATTGATGACCTGTGGGGGCTTTTAAAGTGTCTTTTATTGATTTTTTGGGGTACTGCAGTTTTTCGCCGTTTCACGGTCGCACGCAATCTGTAAACTGGGCATGTTGGGTATCGTTTTACTCGTTGTAACCTCATCTTTTATATTTCATTAAAAAAATGGGTAATTTGTTGTGTTTTGGGGCATTTAATTAAATTTGTCACTAAATTTTGGGGTTTAATAAGGAGTTGCGCTAATATTGCGCAACATAAAAATTTTCAACTACCACCATTTTATTCTATAGGGTCTTGGCATTCAGAAAATATATAATGTTGGGGGGTTTTACGTCATTTTCAGGCCTAAAATGTGGAATATAACATGGGTGCAAAAATGGAAAAAAGGGCCTCAGTCATGAAGGGGTTAACACACAGTAGCATATTATCGTGCATGCTGGTGCATTGGTGAGGTGCCTCGGGGTGGCATTTATAATGAGTGACACCGCATTGCACTTGTATCATGTGTTGGTGGTGTCCATGGGCCCTTAAAGTGTATGTATAGCCAACATCTTTTTTTTGTTTGTTTTAAGTTTTGAATGGACTATGGAAGGGTTAAACCTTATTCGGTTCATTCATATTTTTTGCTGACTGTGTCCCCCGGGAGGTATTCTTTAAAAGGAAAGCTGGGATATTGGTAAAAATGATGAGAGATTCATGTGCAATGAGATGTATTCCCTATCAGAATGACCCAACTTCTTTACTAACTCCTCCCATCTAGTGGTGAGAAGTGGCGCTGCAGCATTTTGAAAGCAGGCTACTGACCTGAAGATCAGGATGACATTATCGGTATTGTTTGTCCCGATGCCATAGAGCGGGATCTCAGAATCAAAGTATCACTAAATTGTTTAATACTACATAGCAGCTGTATTTGCATGATTTGCATTCGTTTTTTTGCATGGTTTAGATACCCCATTCACAGGGCCGGCCTTAGGTCTTTAGGCACCCTGTGCGAGAAAGCTTTAAAGCGCCCCTCAGTAACCACACCCTTTAGTGGCCACACCCCCAGTAACCACACCCTTTTCCCCAAAAATCCGCACCATTTAAAGACTCTCATTTTGTTAAGCCGCAAAGAAACATATTAAAAAGTATGATAAAAATAAAACTTTTATTAAAAGGTGTTAAACTTGTCGGCACAATATAAGTATTCTTCTTCTTATTATTATTACATAGTATTTATATAGCGCCAACAGTTTGCGCAGCGCTTTACAATATAGGGAAGACATTACAATTACAATACAATTCAAAACAAGATGGTAAAACAACAGAAGGTAAACAATAAATGTCAAACTACAATAGAGTTTATAAAAATAAAGTGTCAGGATGTCATGCCGATCCCTTTCTTCAAGTTAGTATATCTTGAAAAGTAAAAATAGAAAACAGAACACAAAACCCGGACTGCGTGTAAATTAATGAATTACTATTTGTCCGAATATACCAAAAATATATTCAGGTGCATAATAATAATTTGTTTGAGAATGTGCGGCGGCCATGTTGGCCACCGGCGTGTTCTGTGAATGCGTGCCACCATCTTGGAGTCAGGGAGCATGACGTTACATGACGCCATGCATGTGTGGCGTCAGGTGACGTCACACACCAAAATTGGCCCCACCATCTTGGTGTATACCTAGATCAGTGTTTGTCCTTCTCACACGGAGGACCGGTAAGTATCACTGATATTTACCGATTCCCCCGCCCTGTCACGCACAGAGCCGCTGTCATCCTGAAACTGACAGCAGGCAGCGCTCAGCCATCCTGACAGCAGGCAGCGCTCCCTCCTGTGGACGAGGGAGCGCTGTCATGTCGGTGAGGAGGAGAGAAGCCACCCCGAGGACGAGCTGTGTGGGCCTCTTGGCGCCTTTGTTGCCATGGCGCCCTGTGCGGCCGCACAGCTCGCACACCCCTAAGGCCGGCCCTGCCCATTCATCTTGGCTTGATCCTTTTTCAGTGATATGGTGTTTGCTAAATATAGGAGACTTTTTTATAACCATGTGCAAAAACTAACTGCGTATGCAGTCCAGTGCAGTGAGGAGTGCTCAGAATTGTATGTCGGTGAAACAAAACAGCAGCTACACCAGCGTATGGCACAGCATAGAAGAGCCAAACCCTCTGGTCAGGATTCAGCTGTGTACCTACATCTAAAGGAAAAAGGTCACTCCTTTGAAGACGATCAAGTACGCATCCTAGACAGGGAGGGGGACTGGTTCAAAAGAGGGGTAAAAGAGGCCATTTATGTAAAAATGGAGAAACCAAGCTTGAATAGGGGGGGGGGGGGGGGGGAGACAGTAATT